CCCTGGGAGTCAGAGGGTCTCTGATAACCTTGGCCACCTCAGGTGTCTGCCCTGGCAACAGCGGCTTCTCCTCCGTGATCTGCACCTCCTGCAGCTCCGCCATGGTGGCCTGGCAGGGTGAGGAAACACGGAGACTGGGGAGGCTGGCTCCATACCCCCGCACCTCCTCGAACAGCTGGCTTCCTCTCTCAGCCCTGGACAATAGGGCGCAGAGGGCCCCAGGAGCTGAGGACTACTCCGGGACACAGAGAGAGCCTTTCCTGCCCCCAACTCCAGATCCAGGCAGCTGGGGAGGAGGGCTTGTGCAGGAGGGCTCAGGACACCACTTCCTTTTAGCCTGGCCATCCCCAACCCCCCTCAACACCCACACCTCCGGACCTCGCTCCCCTGTCCTGGATGGAAATACCAGAGTGGGGCAGCAGTGCAGCTCGGGTGTCCCAGGCTATATTTAGGGGCCACCCCACACTCCTAGTTAGGTAGGTAGGGGGTGAAACTCGTGGCTCAGTGACTCGGTACTCTAAAGATACTAAGGATGGGTAATGAGAGTTCACCATGGACTGTGACCTTCAACTAAAGCCCCAAAGTCAGCAGCGCAAAGGGAAAGGGGCTAAAAATGACCTGAGTAACATGACCAAGAGGGGGAGGGGGAAACAAGAAAAGAAGGACAAGGGACATCTGTGTCCAACTGACTCAGTGCCTCCCTTCCTCTCAAGACTCTTCTTCCTGACTGTGAATAAATTAGCATATATTCAATCTTTGGGACCAGGGCGAGGAGCAGAGCACCTGTGCAGACCAGCACAGTAAAGGGCCAGCAGCCTGGGGGTGGGGTCACTTACTGGGCTCCTATTGGCTGTATGCAGTGGGGTTAAGGGTCAGGGTTCTCACTCCTCCTGGCTCTGGGGTCTGAGAAAACAAGGCAATGAGGTGAATGACATGGGAGACAGACCCTGGGTCTTTTAGGGACAGAAAGCCTAAGCCAAGACCTGGACTACCTGGGTCACCAACCCTTGCCAGGTCACCAACCCTCCCCAATTTGTACCCCCGAGTCCAGTGAACAAGTCTTCCCTAGGCTTCAGCTAGAATCAGTACAGGCTGGAGGGGTCTTCGGAGCAACACAGAGAGCAGGTATCAGTCCAGGCGGGGAGCGGGGAGGGGGGGGGCGGCTGGGAGAGGAGAGAAGGAAGTGCTGATGTGGAGGAAAGAGCATGGCTTGTGTCAGAACCTCTGGATTCTAGTCCGAGGTTCTGCTGCTACCAGTGTGACCTTGGCTCAGCCTGTCACTACTCTTGCCCTCAATTTCTCATTTGCAAACTACAAGTGGGGACTAGGGGATCCCCAAGATTTTTGACAGCTCTCGAGTGAGATGGGGTAGCAGAGCACGGCTGTTTCTCTCCACTATTTAAAAAAAAATTTTTTTTAAGGCTCGTGCCTTCGCTTCTCTCCTCCACCCAGTCTCGATGTGGGTCCGCGAGTGGAGAAGGGGTGAGGCAGCGGAGAGTGAGGGGCGGTCCCACAATCTCTTCCCAGCCTGCCCCGACGACCTGCAAAGGCCGAGCGCCGGCTGGGAAGGGATGAGTAGGACAGAAGGGACTGACTGGGCCCAGCCCCCGGGACCTGTCCCTACGAGTCCCTCCGCTGCGCGTCCGCGTGGGGACTGACACGCTCGCGCGGCTGGCGCGGAGCGCCCTGGACCCCGAACACAACCTCGCGCACGCCCCAAACACGCCCTGCAGCCCGCGGAGCCTCCGCCTTTGTGCGCGGCGGCCCAGCGGCCCTCCCAGCGGGCCCCTTCCCGCGAGCCGTCATCTCCGAGGGATCGGGATCAAACCGCCCTCCACCCGCCACCGGCCCCTTCGGCGCCAGCCAGGCCCCGCGGCCCCTCGCCCGCCCTTCCCCCTACCTGCTGCCGCCACGGCCGCTTCCACCTTCACTTGCCTTTGACTCCCCGGCCCGCCCCGGCTCGGGCTCCCCACAGACCCGCCCCCGGCCCGCCCTCGCCCGCCCACGGGCCGCCGGATCCCAGCAGATCCGCCCCAGACCCCTTGTAAACACGCCCCCCTTCCCCCCGCCCCAGGCTGCCTGCCGCTCTGAGAGGGCCTGTGCTGGGGGCCCGAAGGGAGCTCTAAGGAAAGCAAACTGCTGGGTGCTTCCAGGCTCTGGTCCCGGCTACCCGCAACGGGGCGGCTGTGGGGTACGCGGGGATCCCTTAATCCCGCGGGGGATCCCCACGCCCGCCCGCAGCACTGCCCCCGCCCGTGACCTGGCTCTGCCTGTCGCACTCAGGCTCCTTACTTCGCCCCCAGACTCCGAGGTGGGGACGGGTAAAAGGGAGGCGAATCCAGGGCGCTGGCATCCCACGAATTTGACTCCACCCGCCCGGAAACAGAGTACTAGGTTAAGGGAGGATCGCTGCTGAGGAGGCGGGGGTCTCGCCCGCTGGGAGGGGAAGGTGTGCCTGCGCGGACTGGGCGGTGGGGGCTGGAGGTGGGAGCGTCGAGGGCGCAGGAGTTCCAGCTCGGGGGCTCCCAGGGCCCTTGGTACCTCCTCTCTCTCCGCAGTGTCCCGACGCCTTCTCTCCGGCCGCTCCCTGAGGAGTTGGAAAACAAGGCGGGGAGGGGGGTACGGGGAGTGCGGGGGGCTGCTATAAATAGAGGGAGATCGCGGGAGCGGGGGGGGGGGGGCGGGGAGAGGATGGCCAACGGGGACTCCCGGGTCAAGGCCCCAAGGGGGGGCCGGAGGAGGGGCCAGGGACCCCCAGGGGTTCTGACTCTTGGGTAAACAGGCGCAGGGGTGGAGTTAACTCTGTGGAGGTGGAGTGGGGGCTTGGGGAGGACGCAGTGTCCTGGGCTGGGACCCAAGAGACCCTGTGGCTTCCGAGCTAACCCCTTCTAGTCTGGCCCAGAGGACGGTGAGGCCAGCTCGGCCCGGCGGAATCGCATCGCCCAGGCGCTGGTTTCTCAGGCACTGCTGCGTCTCTCAGGGCCTGGGTGGGTTTGACGTCCTGGACCCCTCACTCGCCCTGCCCTCCCCCCACTTATATGCACCCTCCCTGTGCCCCTAAGAGGAAATCCACCCAGAAGGGGATCGTTATGTGGCTAAAGGGATTCAAAGTTGTCTTAGACAAAAGGACACCAGACTGAATTTCTCCCCACCTGCACCCTTTCCAGGCCCCCTCCCCCCCTGAGGTCCCCACCCTATCCTCCTTCAGCCTGGCTCCCGAGTTGCCATTTCGGGGGCTGGGCCCCAGGCCAGTTGGGAACAATGGCCAATGGAACTGGAGCTGCCAACTGCAACACCAGCTCAGACTGCCCCCACCAAGACCCCCAAATTGCCTGCCCCCTCCTGCCTGGGAACTGCCCACCACCACCACCCTCACCACTCACGACCCAATCCCATCCAAGGAACATCAATGCCCCTTTCATCCCCACTTGGCAGGGTCTATTGGAAAGGAGGGCCCAAGAGGGAGGAGGTGACCCAGAGTAGAACCGGTCAGGATCAAGCCCAGCTTTCAGCAGCCCCACATCTAAAGGATCTCCCCTAGATCCCCCAATTTGGAGCACCCAAGTTTTCCTCCATTCCTTTCCCCTACTCCCTTCATAACTATTTACCCAGAAACTGGCACAGAAGCTGGGTACCCTGGCTCCTCTCCTAGTCCCCTCTCCCCTCTGGATGTCATATTAACACTCTCCCGGACAAGGAAAAGCCTGCTGGAATTGGGACTGTAGATAAAGATGCATAAGACAGAAGAGAGATTTCTCCAGCCCGACTGCAACTGGGGGAGAAAGAGAGCCTAGGGTGAGAGCTTCTGCCGGCAGCCTCCTCTGATGTGTCTAAAGTAGTGTTACTTGGAGTGGGGGAGGGAAGGACCTGGAGGTTCCAGCATCTAAATTCGTCTCTGGGTCAGGATGACTCAGGGGGAACCTGATAAGGGGCCAACGCAGGGGCGTAGGGCAGACGGGAGTTGGGAAATTTCCACTGGGATCTGTTTGCGTCCTAGGCTTGGGGTCTCAGCCTGCCACAGGCAGTAATGAGGCTGCTTCTGATCTAAGATGGGGTTCCTCCTTGTCAGGGCAGGTCTCAGCCTGGCCCAGTGTCAGTGGCCCAACAAGAATACTTCTGTCTCTAATTTCCTTCTCTTGGGCCAGAAGCAGCTTCAAACTATACCTTCCAGTAAGCCACAGTTTTAAGTACCTGCTCCATACAAGCCACTGTATAGATGGAATTCAAAGAAGTGTGATGTCTAGTCATACCCTCTCTAGAGCATAGGATCCAGTAGTTGAGTGAAGGTATAAAGATAGAAAAAATTAAGAAGTGATGTAAATATAAATTAATTGTTTAGACAATAAGTCCTATAGCAATAGTTTCCCACCCTTTTCAAGTGGGAGATCAGAGATTTCCATTTCCAAATGAAGGTTTTAGAATCCCCTGATGGGGACAAACCGTGAATTCAGCAATACTTTCAAATAAATTTGTTCAGTCTTCTGATAATCACAACATCTATGCATCTATGCACCTACATGTGCAAAGCTTATTATTTACTCAACAACCAGTCTTCTGTGTACATACAGATTGCAGAGGTCCTTGCAATAACTCAGAAACCCTTGCCTCAGGAGGCTGCAGCCCACAGGCTAGGAACCATTATCTTAGTATAATTCAGAGGAGGAAAAGGGTTGTTTTCTTTTAAAGCAACCAGTGCTCAAGCTGTTTCATTTTGGGCTTTTTAAATGAATTTATTTTTTACTTATTTACTTTTGGCTGCGTTGGGTCTTTGTTGCTGCGCACGGGCTTTCTCTAGTTGTGGCGAGTGGGGGCTGCTCTCTGTTGCGGTGCACGGGCTTCTCATTGTGGTGGCTTCTCTTGTTGCGGAGCACGGGCTCTAGGCGCGCGGGCTTCAGTAGTTGTGGCTCACGGGCACCAGAGCGCAGTCGCGGTAGTTGTGGCGCAAGGGCTTAGCTGCTCTGTGGCATGTGGGATTTTCCCAGACCAGGGTTCGAACCTGTGTCCCCTGCAATGGCAAGTGGATTCTTAACCACTGTGCCACCAGGGAAGTCCCAGGAAAAGGGTTTTGTTCCTAGGGTAAACCCTATGAAGAGTACAACAATGGAGTACTTGAGTGGTAAGGAGGGGCATTCTATCCAGGCAGAGAGAGATCATGAAGGAAAGTTTTGGGACAGAAATACACAAGTTACTAGGATGAATTGAATAGTAGCTACTATGTGCAAGGTAATTCCCATATATTATCCCCTAATACTATATAAAGTAAGTACTATTGTCCTCACTATACAGATGAAGAAATTAAAGCTGAGAGATGTTTAGTGACTTGCCCAAGGCCACTCAGCTAGTAGATGACTTACCTAAGACTGAAATCCCCAGATTCATTCCACTCCAAGGTTATTCCCTCTCCACTAGGCTTCAGGTAGCTTCTGAAGCATATAATGATTAGGCCATTATGGCCCCAGATGAAGAGTAATGTTGATGAAAGGTGGGTGATGTTTGGTAAGGTAGAGTGGAGCCAAGTGTGAAGGTCCTTGAATGACAGGTAAAAAGGTTTGGCATTTCAGAAAGGTTTGAAGATCCATAGAGTGTTCTTGAGTAGGAGCAATGGATAAATAATTGTTCTGTGAAAATTAATCTGATGGGGGGTTTAAAAGAGATGGATTATGGGGTGGATAGGGGTGAAGCATTTGACTTAGGAAAGAGGTCATTTAGAAGCCAGGATAATCAACTAGATATGAGATGACAGGGACTTGAATAAAGTGTGGGAGGAATAGCAATGGAAAGAAAGGAGTGGATTTGTAAGACAAGGGAGATTATAGGAATCGGTGACTGATTAGATGGGAAGGAGAGGAAAGTCACCAACCTAGTTCCTCTCTTTTAGGGGCCCTGAAGTTCGTTCATCTGTATGGTTTCCAGCCAGAGAAAAGGCCAAAGAGAAACCCCTTCTGAAAGAAGAAACAACACATTTAGAAAAAACTGAATAAAATTATAGCATTACTTTAAAAGAAAAGTCGGGGGGTGGAATTCCCTGGCGGTCCAGTGGTTACTCAGTGCCTTCACTGCCGGGGCCAGGTTCAATTCCTGGTCGGGGAACTAAGTTCCCACAAGCCATGCGACGCAGCCCAAAACAAACAAACAAAAAAGGAACATCCTTGACCTGCACAGAAAATTATCTAGAGTCTGAGGCTCAACCTCACCCTGACCCACCCAGATGTGTGACCCTCCAAGGCCCGTGCTCTTTCCACGTGGGGCCCAACTGTGGAAGCCACTTAAGCTCCTATTACACCTGGTCTGCCAAACCCAGCGGGATTCTCCATGTTGGTCACGAACCTGGGCCTGGAGACTAGAAAACAGGACAATGTTGGACTGATGTCAACCTGTTTCCATTAACTCCTTCCCTGAGCTCTCCTCAGCTTTTGTTGAGGGACAGAGCATAAGGCAATTTGATCAAGACCCAGAGGACTGGGTCAAGCGGGGCTGAAACCATGAGGGAAGCTTGATCACCTGCAGAGATCAGGAGGTTGGCAACATGCTCAATGCAGCATGCAAGGTAGGAACCTAAGAACCCCACCCCCAAAGATTAGGGCTGTAGCAAGGGCTGAAAATTATGTCACAGAAACACTGCTGAGGTCATAGAACTTCCCTCCTCTCCCCAGTCTTCCCACTGCCACATAGTCTCCCCAGCCAGCCGGCTCTCACAGATCTGCACACACTTACTTACAAAGGCTGGGAAGGGTCAGACACCATCTGGGTACTCTCAGGTACACAGAAGTGATGGGGCAGTGGGTGGTGGTGGTGATTATTCAGTATGTAGGATCCACACTAGTATCGCTTGTACTGGGAACAGTAGGTCAGATGGGAATCAGAGGGAAGGGGGGAGGGAGGGAGAGGGAAAAGGGGGTTTGTTCCTGTTGCTGATTCTGATTTTACTTTTTTGTTTTTATAGGATTTACTCTTTTTTTTTCTTAATTAATTAATTAATTTAGGGCTGTGTTGGGTCTTCGTTTCTGTGCGAGGGCTTTCTCTAGTTGTGGCAAGCGGGGTCCACTCTTCATCGCAGTGTGCGGGCCTCTCACTATCGCGGCCTCTCTCATTGCGGAGCACAGGCTCCAGATGCGCAGGCTCAGTAGTTGAGGCTCACGGGCCTAGTTGCTCCGTGGCATGTGGGATCTTCCCAGACCAGGGCTTGAACCCGTGTCCCCTGCATTGGCAGGCAGATTCTCAACCACTGCGCCACCAGGGAAGCCCCTGATTTTACTTGAACCTTCATCATTATTACTCCTTAATCCTCCCTTCCCCTCCTCCCTCACCCCCGAGTCTCCCCCCATACTGTTCTCCCCCACCTCCAGTTGACCATGGCATCAGAAGCAGAAAGAACATTCCAGCGGTTTGCTGTCTTTGGAGGATCGTCAAGCAGTGGCACTGAAATGAACAACAAGAACTTCTCCAAGCTGTGCAAAGACTGTGGCATCATGGATGACAAGAAGGTCACCTCCACTGACGTGGACATCGTGTTCAGCAAAGTCAAGTAAGGGACCAGAGACGGGAGAGGGGGGTGGTGAGTAGAACTAACGAGGTGGTGGGATGCGGGAGGGCTTCTGGCACTGTGCTAGCCCCTGTCCTCAAGGCACTCAGTGTGTAGAGGCCCTGTCTGAGTAAGGGGAGGGTTGGACCTTGGAAGGTGATGAGTTCATGTTCCTGAGTTCCTGAATTTCTGTCTGACTGATCAGGGCCAAGAATGCCCGAACCATCACTTTCCAACAGTTCCAGGAAGCAATGAAAGAACTGGGCCAGAAGCAGTTCAAGGGGAAAAGCCCGGATGAAGCCCTGGAGAACATTTATAAACTCATGGAGGGCAAGGAGCCAGCTACCGCCGGTGTTACTGTGAGTGAGTCTTCATTCCTGACCCCTGACCCTACTTCCCTGAGTCCCTGCTGCTCCTGTGTCCCTTCCTCCATGCCGATGTCCCTAACCCCTGCCAACAGCAGCACTGCAGGGAGATAGGGCAGAAGGCCTCTGGGCACTGTTGGTATTGAAACAGGCTTTAGAGATCATCGAGTCATTTCAGAGGTGAGGAAACTGTGAGAGGAAATGACTTACCCAAGGTCCACAGCTATTTTAATAGTAAAACTTAGACTCATTCCCAAGCGTCCAGGATCTGGGCCAGGCAACTAGGGCCTGGCGGCTTTGGGGGGACACTGAGTGCAGACGACTTGGTACCTGATCCCCACTCCTCTTCTCGCTCTTATGTAAGGTGAAATATCTGACTTCCTCCCTGTCACCCGCCCTCTGCTCCCTACTTGTCCCCTCTCTACTAAAAGCTCTTCCTATTCTAGGTTTCAAATAGGGCCTTCCCAACAGGACAGACTTTGTGTTTTAGGTCTGGGGTTGAAGTCCTCTGGCTGCAGCCTAGTCAAACTAGCTCCTCTGGAAGCAGAAAAATCCACACACACACACACACCTCCCCCCACTTATTCCCATAAACCAGATTTCTTCCTCGCAAGTGGATGGTTCTTATTATAGTTCCTGCCTCCAGCTGCACCTGGGCCCTAAGCAAACAGCACCATGCCAAGGGTTGAACAAGAGCTCTGAGAACTAGTCGAACTGCTAGAAGTTCATCTCTAGAGAAGGGGCGTGACAGTGGAGGGGAAGGGAGAGGGCTCAGACGCCTCATCCTCTGGCTTGCAGAAAGCAGTGACGGTGGGAGGGGTGAGCCACCTGACGGACACCAGCAAGTACACGGGCACCCACAAGGAGCGCTTTGACCAGAGCGGCAAGGGCAAAGGCATCGCGGGACGGGAGGACGTGACTGACAACTCAGGCTACGTGAGTGGCTACAAGGGTGCTGGCACCTATGATAAGAAGGGCAGCAACTAGGGAGTAGCGTCATCTTAGCCTGCCGGCCCTCGACCCTGCATCTTTAACACCGGGAAGCTTGGGGGACAATAAACATCTGTGTGTGCAGCAGCTCATGGGCTCTGTTTTCCACCAGGGTGAGGGAAGAGGGGCCCCTTGGTGCAGAGACAGAGAGAGGAGCTGAGAAACCCAAGGATGGGTGTTCTCAGCACCACCCCCTTTACTCTACTTGGCCTCCCCGCCATTAGGTAGCATCCCCTTCAACAGCAGCTTCTAAGAACACGGCTGAGGAATATATTTGGAGATAAGAGAGAAGCTAGATGTGGAGGCAAAAGTATTTGCTACTTGTGTTCACATAATACTGATATCCATCCCCTTCGACCTGCCAAAGGGGAGTAGAAATTCCTGATTGGAGCTAGTAGGACCCAGGTATTAGCAACTAGACCCTTCCCGGTCCCTCCACCTTCCTAATCTGTTGCAATCCATGTTTTGTTTGGGGAGAAATAGAAACCAGAGAGGGTGGGCCAAAGATCTACTTAGCCTAACTCCTGTTATGAGTTTATTCTAGAGCTGATGGGGAGGGAGAATCCATTTTCAACACCCAGCCTGGAAGTGAGTTTTACCCCACCCCACCTCCATCATGGTAGACATGGAATGGAAGATCCTACTGACTGCCAAGGGTAGCCCAGGAAGATGGCCAGAGGTGGGTGGCGTCCAGGACTCTGAGAGTAGGAGTTCTGGTGCACTGAGGAAAAAGGAATGAAATCAGAACTAATTCAGATGTGTTTTTTTATCTTTTTATTTTGCAGTGATTCACAGGCAGATGCAAAAAGTACAGACAGGTCCCATGTACCCTTCACCCAGTTTCATCCAATGGTTATATCTTACATAATTCAGATATGGTTTTAAATCCTTCTGTGACTACAGCTGGGCCCACTTCACCCCTGCCTCGTCAGAGGCAGATTCTGGAGTTTGGGGGATGTTAGGAGGAGGTTGAGAAATAAAAGGATGCAGGAATCTGGGGGGAATAGGTCAGAGAAGATAATTTGGAAATCCAGTGAACCAAGCTGAGACGGATGGAAGGAAAAGAGGTCAGAGAAGAATAAAGGGTGACTAAAGAGGTTGGGTGTGTAGGGAAGAGACTGCAATGGGCTCCGTGGTGGAAGGAGGACAGAAAGGACAGGTTACATGAAAAGGAAATCAGTGATTCCATAGAGAGGAACAGACTGAGAGCTCGGGGGAGGGAGCGTGGCCTGGAGAAATGAAGCTAATATGACTCTAAGACGCTCAGGGAGGTTCCTATAGCTGGAGATACCTACCATGTGGGTGAGGGAGTAGAGGGAATCATAAGGGAAATGGGGAAGACTGAGAAGGGAAGGGTGGCAGGGAAGGGGATTTGAGACTCGGAACTGGTACCATGGTGTGAGCTGAGGCTCTGGGCCTCCAGCCACGATACAGGATCTGGCCCAGTAGATGGACTGTCACTGCCAACTGGACACAGTCAGCTTCTTGGGTGGGTGAAACTGTCTGTGGGAGAGGGAGGGTGGTGGCAGGAGTGATGGGGGGAGATAAACAAGTTAGAAAGAGCCTAGCAGACAGTACAACTTTGCATGGTGACCAAAGCTCTGGACATATTTCCTATCTCCCTGGTCTCTTAGGAGGGGATCCTGCCTACATCTGAAGCCAGGAAGGAAGCCTTGTACCAGGGATCAGAGCTTCAGGAGTGGGGACAGGCTGGTCTGTAGCGGCAGTAGGGGGGGCTAGTTCAGACTTAACACGTCCCATCCCTAGTAGAGGCCCATGATATCTATCGGTTCAGCATCATACTTTTGGGAGCAGAGCAGATAGAGCCTTTGGTCGGTTAGGGTGCTGGTGTAGTGGCAGCTGGTGGGTGGCTGCTTGGAGCTCAGGGAGCAGATTGTGAGGGGGAAGGAGTCCTGGGTGACTGTACAATATTCATTGTAATTCTCACAGAACCTCTCGCTGTACTTGCAGAACTTCTTGATGGCTGTCCATGGGGCATGTAAGACATAATGGATCTTTGGGCAATACCAGCTTTGTTGTCTGCCCCGTACATAGGACATCAGACCACTACAGTAGCCCCGGAAACGCTTTGCGTAGTTAACCTTGGGATAGTCGATATGTAAGGTACGGAAGTTCTTGATAGCGAGCTGTAGCTGGATGTTTTCGACCAAAGCTGGCTCTAGAACAAGCCGGAGGAACAGGAGCTGGACCACACGGGGTGCCATTCTTCCTGCTGGCAGAGTTAAGGTGGTTGGAAGCAGAGGTGGGTCTCGAGTGACTCTCTGCCCCTTCCCAGAGCTTCCAGTGTGCCCCCAGTCTCCCCCATGTGCCTTCCCCTATGCCCTCAAAGCCGGACTGTCCTTCAGAGATCATCCGGCCCAAGTCTTCGTGCCTCAGAGAGAGGAGACATTTGCCCAAGGTCACCCATCTGGTCAGCCACCTCTAGCTTGGTCTACTTTAGGGTCTCAGCCTCACCCAGTCCGGGAGCTGTAACACTTACGAAATACGAGGTCCAACTGGTCCTTGGGTGAGAGACGCTTCCCGTTTATCCCTGGCCCAGTTAATCCTTCTGGTAAAAATGCAGAAATTCCAGAAGGGACAGGCTCAGCTACACTTCTCTGACTGAAGTGGAAGGACAGGAGCTGGAGGACAGCAGGGCAGGGGTGGGATTCTTCCTTCCTGAGGCCAAGGACAGCCCAAAGGTAAGAAGAGGCTAGAAAGGTTTCTGGATGAAGACCAGTCTGAGACGAAGGAGTGTCCCCTGGGTTTGAGGAGCCCCTGTGCTGACGGGGGTGGATGGGGGGGAGGAAAGAGACATTGCTTTCTGGTCTCCTCCTCTCTGGTGTCATCAGAACACTTAGTTCCAGCGTCCTTGCAAGAAGTCCCGAAGTTCTTGGGTTTCCTTTGATGTCTTCTCTGGTTCACAGGCCATGATCCTGTGGAAAGGCGACAAGGAAAGCACCGTCATGTTCCTGAGGAACAAAGTGCTGCTTATTCCTGACCCTCAGAGAACAGAGGGTCTTCCGCTCTCTCATCCCACTCACTAGATCCCCGGAGGCCAGGTACGCAAGGGCCTCCCGCCTGAGTGCTGACCTCGGTGTGGACCCCCCCACACCATCAACTTCACTCCAATCGTGATCACACTGACACTCTCACCTGTAACCTCAGGCCCTCTCAGAGTCACAGCACTCCTGGAAACCTATGCATGCCGACCCCAAAGCCTCAAACTTGTCAGGTGGGATTAGACAACACAGCCTGGACTTGAGGGGGTGTGGACCGCCTGTGTCCAGCAGATCTTGCTGTAGTTTGTCATGTTGGAAAAAAGGGCCAGGCTCCTAACTCTTTTTCATCAACACCTGCCCCTTCATCAGAACCAAAGAACTGGCTCCCCAGAGCCTGCCAGCCACAGTCCTTGATGCCCACAGGCGTCTCAGCCTTGCCTCCACGCACCTGTTGTCCAGGTTGTGGGCTTAGGACAGCTTACCATTCTCTCCCTGGAGAGCGGGAGAAGAGAGTCAAAACAGAGAACACTGAGTGTCCCAAGGCCAGTGTGTAGTTCAGGAAGGGTGGGGGGCGCGTGAGAGAGTCGCGTGGTGTTCCTCGTTCACAGCCCCCTTAAACTTGCTCTTTCTGACATCACAAAGCAGAGTCCAAAGCTGAACCCATCCTTCCCCAACTCGCTTTCCCTCCTGCCTTGTCCCTTTCCTCAGTTACTTAGGCAAGAAATCTGAGAGTGGTCCTCGACCCCGCCCTCTCCTTAATCCCACCTGTTTGGAGGCGGTACCGCATGGTGGCTCAGAGCAAAGCTTCTGAGTAAAACAGACCAGGAATTGCATCCTGGCTCTACTGCTTCCAGGCTGTACACCATCAGTCTAAGTTCACTAAACCGGTATAAGCTTCAGTTTCTTCATCAGTTAATGCAGATAATATTCTGTACCTCGTGGCAGTCTTAGGATTCGTTAAGATGCATATCGAGAGCTCTTAGCCCAGGGCCTGGCACACGGTGAGTACTCAATCCGAGCATGAGTCCATCAGTCACGCAGCTCTGATGATCTTTTTATTTTTTAAATTAATTCTTTAAAAATATTTATTTATTTGTTTAGCTGCTCCAGCTCTTAGTTGCGGCGTAGGCGATCTTCGTTGTGGCATGCGGCTCTTAGTTGTGGCTTGCGGGATCTAGTTCCCTGACCAGGGATTGAACCCAGGCCCGCTGCATTGGGAGCACGGAGTCTTAACCACTGGACCACCAGCGAAGTCCCAGCCCTGACAATCTTAACTAAAACTTTTCCCGAACCAGTCTCTTCCATTCCTATTTCTTCCCCTGCTCAGGCTTTCCCCTCTCCTGGACACCACACACTCTCCAACTCCAGGAGGACTCTACACCTCATAGGACAGAAGACCTCCATGACCTGGCCGCCACCATGTCTCCAATTGCATCTCCATCTCTGCCTGCTTCCCCCAGCGGTGCCCACCCCACCTCCCGCTCACGTTATCTCCTCTACCCAGCATGATGCTCTCTCCTCCCGCTCTCACCCCCGTCAGTTCCGCTGGGCCAGCTCATGCCGGACGTCCTGTTTAAGAAGCGTCTGCTCGGAGCACCTCCCCAGGGAAGTGTGCACAGCCAAGTAAGGGAGGATAAAGCCCACACAGGCAGGTGGCTCATCTGTGTCCTTCAGGCTGGTGTATCAGCCAACACCCAGTGGGAATCCATGCAGGATGTTGCCAGAGCCCGGCTGACTCAAGTCTTTGGTGTGAGGAAGCTGCTAGCACTTTGTGGCCCCAGGCTCAGAGTGTGCCACCTCTTCCTTATTTGCTCAAGGCTGCAGCTTCCCTTGGAAGAGAAACGGGCTTTTCATCCCTCTTGGTCTTCTTCTTTCTTCATTCCTACCCACCCACCACCACTCACCTCTGCACACAGTTACTACAGACATAGTAGAGGAAAGAGTTTAGGACTTGATCTCAGATAACCTACTGAGCTTCCATTTCCTCTTCTATAAAATGGAAGCCTTCCTTACCTCATGAGGCTGCAAGAATAAAATGAGATGGTCAATATGGAGGTGACTTTTAGCCGTTAAACAATATATAAA